ACGACATTTTTCTGCCATTCCCCTTGGGAACTTCGTTCCGAAATTTCACGTGCTAAAGTTCACGCATGCAATTCCAATGGCAATCCGGATTCGATTTCAAAAACCGCGCTCATTTTTTTCTTTCTTTCGTCGCGATTTTGCAACACTTCGCATAAAGATTAAATGAGAGCTAAAAAAACCGTCTTCTTTTGCTCTGTAGAAATATTTATGCTTCGTAATTCTGTTTCATAATTTTTTTCAATTCTACTTCGACAGTTTTTCAAGTTTAATGCTAATCAACTTTTTAGCGACACCGAGTAAAATTTACCGCAGAGATTTGCCGCAAAGATCGTCCTAATTTATTCGAGAGAATTTATAACCGGATTAAAGGCGCGCGTATTGTTATGCCGCGCTTCTTACAGTAAAATTAGTATAACTAGCTTGCTTAGTTACACTAATTATATTCCGGACTCATTACACACGCAATGTCTAAAGCGTGTACATTAAAACGAGAGAATACAATCAGTTTAGATCGCATCTTTTATATTCCAGATTTAAATAAACTTTCGCTTAATCGCCGCATGGAGCTTGTTTTAACGGGGATGAATTTATTCCACCAGGATTCAATATCGATCAAAGCGTCTGCTTTATCAGAATTTTCTTATTTCGCGAGTGGAAAAGAAAGACAAACGCTCTTGTAGAACTACGGCGGGGATTTCTCCAGCAGCGAGATTTATTTCCGTCTTTAGGTCTTCTGATCCCGCCGGAGACACGACATGCCACGCAATGTTCCCCATTTAGATAATGTAATTCAGGATATATGATAGCTGAATGCAAGAACGCAGCATTGTTTCTTGAAAATAAAGCATCACACCGCGAGAGACGCTTAGAGAAAATTTTATTTCGCGGATGGATTATTTTCGCAAAAAGAAAAAAATATATATACTCTCATTTATCAAAACTTTGTGGCATTTTGTTTATAAAACGGTACACTTGTTCAAAAAATTGTTAAAAGAACATTATTCATTATCTTGCCAAATGCAATACGCTTGACCCCTTCGGCAACTGATTTATCTTTCTATCCACTCTCTCGCTTATTTGATCTTTCGTCTCACCCGCTCGCGCGGCAGTCAACTTCACTCGACGGCTCTCGGGTCAAGTGGGGTAATTGAGATCCTCGAATAAATGGGACAACGCAATGATTTTCTAATGATAAATTTAGAATAAATGTCATTTATTCTCAAATATTTTCTAATGGCTATTAAACGAAGACAATTCAAATGTCTCTATAGCTAATTTACAGAGAAATTTGTAACGCAAAAGTATATGAATTTAAAATTCTTCAGCAAGATATAAAAATTTTTAATACATCCTGCATAAGTTGCGCTCGTGGAATTATCAGATAACGTCAGATGGAATATACGAAAAGTGGCCTCTCTTTGTGCGTTCAATTTTACGCATTGCACCTACTTTGAAGCCTTCTCGGGTCAACGCTATAATGGGTACCTCATTTATCATTATAAGGTCGACTATAATGGATATCCATCTCCCCTCTAATTTTATCACCGAGAACTCACTGCGTCGTCCCATTTATCCGCGGCCCGGGCTCAATTATCCTGTATGACCTCAATCGTTATACAGTCCAGACGGTGGACCGCCCAGTCCGACGGTGTCCTCGCACTCGGTGCAAAGCCCGGCGCAGCCGACCCCGGCGCCGAGATGGCCCTTGAAGCCGGGCGTGCTGGTGCACATCAATCGAACTCACAGCCTGCGATCCGGCCTGAGTGTTCGCGCGAACGAGGCTAATCTGCGTAACGAGCTGGTGGGCAAACATAACGACGAGCCGCTCAGGCAGCGTTTCCTCGACGAGACGTCGTTGTCGTCGATTGGCCGTAACCCGGCGCGGACGGTATTCCGCCGCGGTAGGAAAGATCAAACCGTCGCCGCGCAGAGGACAGCCAGCATGACCAGTCTGAGCGAGGACGGTATGCTCGCCCGGGCTAACAAGATAAAAGCTATGTTTGGCGTACAGCTCAAAGAGCAGGCCACCCTGCCCGGTATATCCAGGGAAAAGACAGGTAAGAGCAGTAGTAGGAAAGGAGTCGAGCTGTTTACCCGCGACTTTGCGAGACGTCATCCGACCCGTTATAACCCATTTGTATTTGCGACTACTTGCTTGCCGAAAGTCTCGTCGACTACTCGCAAGTTTTTTTTCTCTTTTTTTTTATTTGACACTTTAAAGCTTTCTTAAATGTGAGAGCTATTTGAAAGTGCAGATTTTTAATTGTACGAAAAGTTACATAATATACAAGTGTGTAAGCTGAATGTATAGCCTCACATTGAACACGGAAATGCAAATATTTGTGAATGGAAATGGGTTAAACAAACGGCTCTTCCACACCGGAAGTCAACCAACCTCTAACCTGTTCCACGTTCACAAGATGTTAGTATTATCCACACAGTATAGCTAGTAATGGTTCCGTCTTTTCGTATATAAAAAAATAATGACGCACTCGAGATCCGACGGCTGTACTGTCAACGTTCCAAACACGTCCAAACAATGCATATTTTATCAATATTTTCGTTATATTACGCAATAAACGATATTATCCAATTATCTATCGTCAATACTTCAAGAGTATTGATTTTACTGCGCATCAGTTGAACTTCGTTCCGCAAGTTTTTTTTTCCTCTCCAACTATCGTCGCAGGTAAATAGTAAACCTTATTGCTCCGTCGTTATCCGTGACTTTTCCTTCGTAACTTTTTGCGCGCTTTTACGTTAACATTTCAGTTAATGGAAACATCGCCGTGTTACTGGAAAATATGTGGCGTGTGTGTTTTCTGCATACGTTGCAGACGACTTTGAAGCCTCATTAAGCATACAGCTGCGTATGTGGCATAATTAACCCTCTAACTTTTCCACACTGCCTGCAGGAACATCATGTTCCGGAGAATCTCCGTCTGTTCAACCTTAGTATATTCAAACGATCCTTATTCAAAAGTTTCAGTATTATTATTTACTGTTAATCTACAAATAAAAAAATGAGAAGGCTCGAAAACAAAATTTCAATACACAATACATGCTGAAATTCAATCTACTGACTTAATAAACAAATGTTAATCAGAAAGAGTATGCATTAAATATCATTTGTACTTCTATTAATTTAATACAACATGTACGCTCACGTACTTTCCATTAGCACAAAAATATTAAAATAGTCATAGATATTTTCAAGCTTTTAAATACAAAGTAACAGCTTTCTAAATACGAAGTATATTTTAGTATATCCAAATGGATGTGCAAAAACATTAAAATAATTTGTCATTCTCGTGTGCTTTAAAATAAAATAAGGTTGTTTATATGACCTTCTCGCGTCTTTTTATTTCGTTAATTAAATGTAATCGCATTTTTTTATAAATTTAATTATTTATCTAATATAATTTCAAAACAAAAATCGTAAATTGAAGTCATAGAAGCAATTGTGACTTCAATTTACGATTTTTGTTTTTAGAAAATTATATTAGATAAATAATTAAATTTATAAAAAAATGCGATTACGATTTATTAATTAACGAAATAAAAAGACGCGAGAAGGTTATATATATATATATATATATATATATATATATATATATACAACGTTTCATCTTAAATTACAAGAAAAATGTAAAAACAAATTAATTTTAAGAACGTCATATAATTTAAGTCCTATTCTAGTCTTTTTATCTGTTGATTGTTTTTTTGACTATTTTAAATTTGATGTGACACCATTCATACCATTTATTCTTAATGTATCATTTAATATTCGCGGTGATTTGCATTTGCTCAAGCTGTCGCATGAGAGGCAGGCTTTATGTGTTTGTGATATCGCTCGTTGTTGATTATATGTTCCTTAGCTGTGACTTACAAGAGAATCGTGCCGCGGCAGCGGATATTGCACGGCGTGGAACCATCCTACGAGCCGAATCGTGGCAATATATCTCGTAAGCGAAAAAAACCCGGAGCCGGTACGTATAAAGAGAATTTTTATATAACGTGCATGCCTGCGACTTTATTTGCTCGCATGCTTTGACTTAAAACCCTCCCCTGACCTTTTCTTCTTTTTTTCTTTGACAGATTTTTTTTTTCTAAAAATTATGTGTTACTTTATGGCTGTACACGCGAATACATATTCATCATCGGGCAGAAAAAAAGGGATATACAGAAAACAGAGATAACACTCATACAGACGTATGTGCGAATGCCGCAAGTCGTTAGTGTATACGCAATAGAGAAATATTTAGCTATAGGTGATAACACACGCCGCACGCAAGAATTCATAGTTCCGCATAAAGTACACACGGCAATCGGCCACATAAATTTCACTTATCACACAGCAACTATTAATCACAGATATTATCGATTTTCTGATTTATAACGTAGGTATAATTCCGCGCGTTCCTTTTGTAGTAACGTTTATCGCGATATTACTCTCGATCTTTTCCACATCATCAAAACAGTATAAATTCTCTTATCGTGCGCAGCGCCGAAATTCCTTCGACAAGAGGGTTTCTGTTGATGAATAATGACAATTGTCAACTGCAAACGTTACATGATATTATTACTCCACTGCGTGTCAATGTTTCGAGTGAATATCACTTACAATATTGTAAAAAAAAAATAGAAATACGAATTTTGAAATCTTAGAAATAAATCGTGTACTTAAAAAATTCGAAATTCTAATACTATATAAATTGCATTGATTACAATTGACAGCTTGGAGTTTGTTAATCTTATGTCTACATTTTGGAATACAAACCGGAATTGCAGTCTATTTGAGGCTTTATGACTATCCCGTTACACTGTTCTTTCATACCTTTTTTTTTACTAGTAAAAGCTCATCGTTTTATTGGATTAAATCGGTATGTGTTGGTGGAGCATAGTTCCCATGGATCGTCGAGTTTATCACTGTCATCGACAATTTTACCTCGCGAAAAATTTATGCAACGTTACTAACATTTCTCTTTTTGCAATTGCAGATCCCAATCAAGCCGCGAATAACAATCATGTGAACAGCGTGTCGGAAGTTCTTCCCGACTCCGGGACAAAGACGTTCTACGAAAATTTACCTTTCCACGGGATCCAAGCGCCACCTAACAAGGTTAGTATAATGATCATTGCATAAAAGAACAGCATTTTATCAAACCGCATGAGCTAGACTCGACTTTGCAACTCCGCATATTATCGTCGAAAAAATAATGACGGCAAATTTATCAGTCACAAAGAAATCAAAATCTGCAACGTACAGATATTAAAGCTGGATATCGAAAATAATTTTTCTTTAAATTTTATTAAAACGTAGATAAAAATTTTTCAAATCATATCCTCTTCGATCTTCGGCAGATACTACTTTTCTTCGATTTTCACCTTGAATTGTTGCCGGAGGCACAATTCAAGAGAATTCACATTGAACAAGATCGACCTAAGAGGACCGATACTCTCTCGATGCATTTCCAACAGTTAGCCAACCAAGTTTCGTGAACAGTTCGTCGATTAACGGTATCCCTTTCTGACCAAATACGTTCGAGAGGTGATAGCAAGTGAAATGCGGTGGAAGGCCAAGAGGGTAGATATTAGTGCGACCCTTCGACCGTGCAACCCCTTCGCCGTTCGAAGATCCCTCTCGGCACTTAGGAGTGCCTCGGTACTCCCCGACATACGGCTCCACCGTATTGCTCGTGCTTCACTTTGTAAAGAGTTACCGAACTCAGCTACCGAACGAAGCCCCTTTCAATCCTTACAATGGCTATAATATTACCTCTCAGTGACTTTCCGAATCGTCATTTCGCAATTAGGAGGTCGCAGCTGGTCCTCTCGGGCTCGCGACGTTCGGCGGCCTTATCGAATTACCGCGCGAATGCATCCGTCATCCCTTTCTCATCTCACGCTGGTCTTTTTCAACAGCGCGCCCACTCATTTCGTCGCCGTCCGTTATCGCGGTTAATTGATTCGCCGAGCAGACGTTTAAATAATTAATTTCACCATTTCACAACTGACTTCCTTTTCTGTTTGCGTTTGAATAATTAGAGTCGGAACTAAGTCTTTTACGTGCCAGAGGAGCCGTGAAATCTTTCGGGATAATAGACTTTACGACAAGTCATTTGCAAATTATGCACATGAAGTGATTATAATGAGTTATCTCAGTAGCTAGAATGTGGATACGAATTTCCAGCCGAGCTGCATATATATGTATATAATATGTGAAATATGAGAAAAAGCATTTTCTTTTTCTGTACTGAAATCCTCGTGATAGTGCATAAGCTATTATTATCTAACATAAGCCACTTCTATACATATAAACATATTCGATTATATCGTATAGATTTTTACGATGCAAATTTTATCAAGCAACCTCAATGGATCGCGTTTCCACTGAGCACGTAAATATATCGTTCCCTCGAATCGTCGAGTATTCTACAAAGGATATTCTACTTCCCGTAGCGTCAATCCGACCCACCGATCGTTATGAATTCTTTGTACGTGGATTTATCATGACAATAATGCGAAATCGATATCTTATCCCGAGAGAGAGAGAGAGAGAGAGAGAGAGAGAGAGAGAGAGAGATTCTCTACAGTATATAATTATATTTCACGTGTTTATAGATTTTAAAGGTTTTCAATTTCTATTCCCATGTTTATACATTTAAAATTATAATATTCATATTGAAATAAATTGACGGGGGGAGATAGAAATAATTAATGGTGGCGACTGACAATTTACCGTCATTATCTTGCAATAATAAATATACATACAATCGTTGCTCGTCAATCTAGTTGCAAATTTGAGGTTCGTAATCGCACCGCTTTTAGCAATAATCGTACGAAACCGATGTTGCTGAAATGCATGTCGAGTGAAACATTGATTCATTCGGTATACCTATCATCAAAGCGTTTTATTCGTGTAAAACTTTATAATGATACTCTGCACGCAGCAAAATAACTGCGAAATCAAAACCAGAATATTTTCATTAATATACACGCTTCTCTGAAATTTGTTACATGGACGCAATGATCAGTTTTATATTTTCATTTTCCTCTCCAGGTTTTAAGTAATTTTTATTAATTACTCGAATGTATTTTGCACTTCGCACTGGCTGCCTTTTTTTACTGCTTGTTACGTACTTTCGTGCGATAACCGTCAAATTGTGCAATAACATTCTGTCGATTGTCTTACAGATAATTGCAAAACGATAATTTAACAGTTTGATAAAATCGCGGGGATAATTTGCCAATGTGAGAAGTAAACGAAATTATATTAATTCTTAGCAAGTAAGTGGCTATTAATTCCTTTTGCGTTTGCCTCGAATACATTTTTTGCGAATTCCCGGATACTTTTATTAGCTATAGGAAGCCCAATCTCATAGCCCAATCGATATAGCGCGGGGAAAAAAGAGCACCGGTGGTGGACAGGTAATTCAGTGCTGTGCGAGTGTAACGAGCATTGCTACTTTGGCAGAAATAAATTCACTGTACGCTGCGTTTTTTTTTTACTTTCTACCTTACTCGTGCTCGCACTAACGTTTTCTAGAAGAGCCAATTGTTGCAATGAGTTTCCAATAATTTGTGTTTTACGATAACTACACGAATGACTACGTGATTTTATTTTCATCGAAATCGATATATACGGTTTTGTTGCGGATTAACGTTCGTTGTCAGCATTTTAATGAAAAATAACGTTGACGCCAGTTGCATTCTTCGTACGGGAATGTAATGAGGGTCGCGTTCTGTCGAATATTCTGTTGTAAAAAGTCATGACTGATTTGTTTCAATCTACGCCATTAAATTTAATAAATAACTAAAATAATTAATTCTGCGTCGCTAAATTGGCCGTTCGTACAGATTGGCGTAAGAATATTAGATACTTATTAAAAATTCATTATTTTTAATGAGAGTAGAAAAATACGGTAGAAATAATGACTGTAGCTTATGTCCCCTTAATAAATTACTTTGGAGCTATAAGTACAATATTTTATAAAATAAATCCTAATAATTTCTGAGACGAATTAGTGTTGCTAATAAATGATTAGCTACTGATATAATTACGTATGTACTATGGTATATGTATGTACTCGTACAATACTTTTAACTGCCATAGTTGCTCTTTACATAAATTTAGAACTGAACTGTGAATTTTGCCTTATTACTGATCCTATAATTTCCAATTATATTGAACTAACTTTATATTTAACGGAAAATATCTCGTGTTTGATATCACAAACATTCATAAGCGCAAAGCTCATTTTGGCAAGCGAGCCGAGCGAAATTACCCGAATCGGTTTACCCAATTCGCTAGTATTCACAATCCGCGCGCAATCCGAATCAATCAACGTATAATTCAATGAGAGGCAATAAGCACTATTGCTGGCATAGGCCACTCGATAATCAGGGCCGATGCCTAGTGAATGATTGTCCTAACGTATCGACAATAGCGCGCGCCATTTTCCAAGGGTTGCACACGTTTCATTTCAATTAACTTGTACTTACTTCTTACTTACGTGTACTTACTTCAAACGATTAATATCATATTATATGTATTGAAGAAATTTCAATTTGTTAGTTTTTATGAAGAGGCAAAATTTCAATTTGGAATTGTTATCAAGTAAAGTTAGAGAAGAATATTTCTCTGAAGGATACTTTCTCCGTTCAGCGCCTCGTAACTTGATAATTCTTGTAATTCAATAACTTCTTCCTGCATAACAGGAAATTGGAAAGAATTATGTTAGGAATAATCGATATATCAATAATCTTATTCTAAAAGTTCCTCCAATAGTTGACAATACAACATCTGTCAGTCAATATCTGTTGTTACGCGGCACGGTAATATTGTTACAATCGCGCATCCCCTCGAAGTGCCGTTATCAAGTGTATAACGTTAGAATAACTTTCCCTTTAATCGTCACAAGGAAGCGACGTAACTATATCAGTGGTGCTCGTCCAAAATGCCAATAGCAACTTAGAAATTGACATAGATTGCGTCCTTATGTCCTACGGCGAGGAAATGCCGTTCCAGCCAATCAGTACGAAGTCGACTTCGCTGTCGCTAATTAAATCATCGTGATCGCCGAAACGTCATTACCCTCGGGGATAAGGGACCCGCCGGTGCTGACGATGCGCGATAATCGAACGTTAATCAACATCATAACCAAAACAAACCATAACCGTGGACTGTATGTACATGCGAATGGCCGCTGGCTGCGTTTTGTTTTAGTTGGTTACTCCTAAGTTTGCCCGAGTTTCGGCTTTGCATGGCACGTTGCATTCCATCACGGCCTCGCCGTGCTCCTCGCGGCCGCCCAGCAGAGCTGTCAGTCTATGCGACGGTAGTTCCGGCTACGAGTCGACCATGAGCCATCTAGGGCCCCACTACAACGTCTACAACGTGCCCAGGAGCAATTCGCCGGTGCTCAAATACAACACCCTGAAACCGCGGCGGCGCAAGCAGAAGCACTCGCAGCAGTTCTACTCGTTGCGGCTGTGTCGCCGGCACGAGAGCATCCGCAGGAAGTACGAGCTATACGCGATACCGATCTATAAGACGTGCCCGCACAGAAGCGACAGCACGGCGACAATCGCGACGATCGTCCGGTCGGTGGAGGACGCGCCGTCCCTGACCCTGAGCCAGGCGTCGGCATCGATCAGCCTGATGAGCCGATCGGCGCCGTCGACGCCGATACCGCCGTCACCGACGACCCCGATACCGCCGGTACCAGCGCCGAGGATGTCCAAACAAACCGATCCGTCCAAACACACCTACCAAAATGTCCCTCCCCCCGTTTTTCCGCCGAAAAACGCTTCGTTGCCTAAGCTTAATAAGGTTTGTCGACTACTGATGATCTATAATATGAACGCCCCGCATCCGATTACGCTCGTGGACATTGCCGCGAACGAGCTTCTCGGTAAACCGTCCCTCGATCGATCCCACCGCCAGTGGCTCGTATTGTCGAGTAGTGCTCCATTGACCTTAATATTAATTATCGTAATTTTTATGTCACGTCAGTCGGATTATAAAATATATCTCGCATCGATTTATATTTTAAATACATGTTTTTCCTTCATTTACGCTTCTACGGCCAGGAATATTTAAATGGGATTGAACAGAGG